CATTTCTTAATTTTCATTTAGCTGCAGAGGGTTTAAAAGCTTTTAATTTAGTTACTCTGCGATTGATTGATTTTATTTAAGATTTTAGCTTTGGGGGGTTTCATTCTTTTTGAATTCTTGAGTTCATTTGATTGATCAGTTCTTAACTTTTGATATTAAAATATCCATTCAAAGGAGGCAGAGATTTTTCAATTAGCTGCAGATTATTTAAAAACTTCAATTTTATTTAGGTCTAAGAAATTTGAGGTTTTTACCATATATATATATATGCGTTGAGCTGGGTAGGAGATTGGAATTCATTAATACCAAATTGTGTGTCCAAGGCTTTTGTTATTATGTATGAGGTAATGAATTTGTGGAAACAATGAGAGACGTTTACCTTACTTCTGGTATGCTAATCGTATTTCAGATCAGTGGCGGATTTAGTCGAGTCCTAAATCCGTCCCTGCTTCAAATGTTGTCATAAATAATTGCATAAATTTGATATCTACCATTTTAGGATCGGAAGTATTTCAGTAGAATTCAATGTGCTTGAAAACTTGACACTGCTATATGATTGATTTTATCCCAGATAATACCTGTCTATATCTGAAATTTCTAGGGAAATGCTAAACTACTCGAGTCATCAAGCATAATTTGCACTTTCCAATTTTATGAGATGACTGATTTATACAAATAAATAAATAAAATGCAATAGAAGTTCTTTTTACGCAGTTGTCGTGTTGTTGTTGGTTATCTAATCCTCTTGTGCTATTTTTTGGCGGAATCATAAATTTATTTTTTGCCATTAAATGAACATTGTCCTCCAATGTTTTAGCAAGAATATGCCAAAAACAGGCATTCTTGCTTGGCCGAGGAAACTATTTGTTTTCAAAGTTTAGACACGTTTCTACCATCACATTGTAAACGGAAAATATTATCTTTGTCCTTAGCCTTCACAAAAGACAAAGTAACAAGAGATAGAAAGAATTAACCCTTTTGCATCGGCTTACCTTGGTAAGAATGAGAAAAGACACGAAGAATTACACAATCACATATTCTTGCTGCGACACCTGCATAGAAAGTGATCCTGAGTTTATAAGTCAAATTTAGCAAATCATTCTGTGAACCTGTAGTTCACATTTTATAACTGTTAATACCATGGAAAGAGATTTTATATATATTATTAAAAGGAAGAATTGAATAGGAAGTAATGCATATGGTTAGAATGGATTGGATAACATGGAGAAATGTTGTAGGAATTTTGTACAAAGATTCGCACAAGGTTAAAAGACCCAGAACATTGATAGATTTTCTATGTTTTATGGTTTTGAGTCTTCGGATGTTAAAATAATCATAAGATGTTTGGAAATGAAGATGCTAAGGTGGACATACAAAAATTGTTAAAATAAGAAATGAGAATATATGCCCACAAGCTGGGTAGGACCAATTGAGGGATAAATTAAGAGAAGGACATCTTAGGAGGTTGAGAGATGTTCTGCATAAATTATAGAGAGTTGTCATCATAAGAGTTTCAGTCTCCATAGAACACGTCATAAGAGAAAGGGGTGGATCAAAACTAGCATGGCTCATTGTAGTTGTCGAGGATTTTTTTGCTTTCGCTCTTCCCATAGCTCGAGTTATGCACCGAATGGAGTGGCATTGCTGGCTTAATTTGTAGTTATTGTTGGCCATTGTTTCCACAACAGTTCTCAATGTCGGCTACATGTCAGGCATGCTCAATAGGATCATTGTCCCTGATTCCAAAATAAGATTGAGAGGTTGAGTACTTTACATTTTTGTTGACATTTTATCTTCTATGTCGACCATTAAACAAGCCCACATTGTGGGGTGTTGTGGGGTGGGGGTAGAGGTATCAATCCGGGTGGTCCGGGCCGGGTCGGCCCGTCAACATG